AAAAAAATAAAAATAAAAAATAAAAATCCTATTAATGTACTAAGTGTTGTTAAGAATTACTAGTTGAAGAAATAAATAATTAGATTTTGTTTAGTTAATAAAAAATAGCACGTGTTCAGGGTAAAAAAAATTTCAAACCATACATATGCTACAATAAAATTTTATTTCAAATATTCAAACAATATAAAAAATCACAAAAGGATAAAGTTCCTGCCCTGTCCCAATTTCCACAGGTTATTACTGTTAATAATAAATTTCTTATATAGTTTTCTATAAATATTTTATGATCTTTGATTTTATATACATCAGATCATACTGTTGTGGAACTTAAATTTTCTCCTTAGTAACACATCTTGGAAATTTCTCCCGAGCAGTCCACATAGATTTGCCCCTGGTTTTTTAAGGTCTACATTGTATTCCCTTGTATGTAGGGACCACCCTTGATGTAGCCTGTCCCCCACTGCTTGGCACTATGGTTGTTTCCAGTTTTTGCTATTTTGAACAATGCCACAATAAACTCCTTTGTACCTGGGGCTTTGGTTGTTGCTACACATAAACCCATAGGATCCTGAGCCAGAATCAAGAGTCAGATACTTAACTGACTGAGCCACCCAGGTGCCCCTATGCAATTTTAATGGATGGTACCAACTCACCTCCAAAGGGGTTGTAGCAACTGACATTTTGACCCATAGTGTATGAGAATGTCTGTGTTCTGCAGATTCACCAGCTCTGAGTGAAAATGATCACACTTTACAATCTAGTAAGTAAACTGTTATTAAAAAATAACAGTAATAATAGACATATATGGAGTAGCAGTACATATTAAGTGATCTTATCTGCAAAGATGAATGTTTACAATCACCACGGAGAAGTGGGCTAGTTCCCCTTTGAACAGAGGACAGGGAGGTTGCAGGGACTTGGACCAGGGTCTGAAGATTTGCTCCACTGTTTATTACCCCAGTGACCTTGGCCACAGGTTCATCAAGGCTCTCTGTCTACAAAAGGGTGATATTAAATGAGATAAAGCATGAAAAACCTCCTAGAACTAGTGTCTGGAGCCCAGTAAACATTGATTACTATTAGGAAGCAAGCCAGAGTGCTAGAGTCCCTGGCAGGTTTGAGAAGGACTCAACTCATAACAGAGACCTGGGTTCTATTTCCCTCACCTGACTACTACCTTGCCACCCTGCTTAATTTCTTTGAATTTTCTTGCCTGTAAGATGTCAATTTGGATCCTTCCCATTCATTTGCTGATCTGGAGAAATGTGAGTGGGGAGTTGAGCCACCACGCAGGTGGCAATTTACACGGACTGGCAGAGACAGGCAGCATCACGGCAAAAGAAGGCGGGTGGAATCTCCGCTCCACATCTGTCACTGAGGCAGCAGAGAGAAGTCTGGGGCCAGATCCACCTACCTGCAGTCCTGCTTCTGCCCCTTAGAAGCCAGATGAGCTGGGGCAAGTTCTTGCAGCCATCAGAGCCTCAGTTTTCTCGATTCTAAAACATGGATAACAGTAACTACCTCATGCGTTATCGTGAGTATGAAGTACGAGTCTATGAAAGCACTTAGCAGCTGACCCCTGTTAAATGTTCAATATTCATAGAGAGCAAAAAGTCTCACTGTCTGATCCTAGCTTCCTGGCAGATCAGGAGGGCCAGGATGCTTCCGCAGAGTGGAACAAAGAGAAATGTTAGCAGCCTTCATCTCCCAGTCACGCTCTCCATTTGTCAAGGTGACTCACACAGTCCTTTTTTCACTTTGGTAACTGTGAACGCGCCCTGGCGTGGTGGTGGGGGTGGTGAGGGCACAGGGCAGACAAAAGCAAGACTGCTAGGGTTTCTTAAATGGCTGTAACTCCAGCTGGGGATCTCTTTCATTCTTCCAGGAAAGAAGTGAGAAAACGTAGATTAAAAAATATTTTTCATCAGAACTGCTTAATACACTTAAATGTTTGATTTGCAAAGTGGAAATGCTCATTCGCTGCTATCCTGGACAACATTGTGTGGGGATTGGAGGTAGAACATGAACAAGCTTTGGGTTTTGCTACAGTGTTTCCCTCTTGGTTTGCATCTGCTTCAATTCAAATTTCCGATACGATATAACATATAAATTGCAAATATTGGCTCTAAATGGGATTTCTGAAAAACACCTTGTGAATTATTAATTAAAATTTTTTTATTTTGAAAATTTCAAATTTACAGAAAGGATGCAAAGAAAAGCCCAATGAATACTTAGATGTATCCACTGTTATTATTTTGTCACATAGGCTAATACATTATTTTTGAGATGTAGAGAGCTGCATTCATATAACATGGTCTCTCTCTCTCTTTTTGCCAATAAAAGAGTTATAGGCATGGATATAGTTATATCAGTAGTATGACTCCTAGACACTCAGCTTCCTTAAGTTCGAGATCTGTTTTTCTATATGGCTGTAAGGTTGGAATGTAAGGGATCATGTTTGTAATAACTGCTGGATTGATACTTACTGCACCAAATATGTAAGATACATGACCCCTAAGCCTGTTATCAACTGTGCAAGCCAGGTCTCATCACTCCCAATTTACATATTTGGTAACTGACACTCAGATGTTGAATCACTCCTAGTGATTTGTCTTTTTGACTACACATCCCTTTTGGGGGATTCTCAGAAGGACATTTTAATGACAGCATATGGAAAGTTTTAACTTGAGTTTCTGGTAGAATTGCAATGTTAATTTCAGGTAATTCCTTCCACTAAGGTGGGGTTGGGGAGGGGGGCAGTGGAAGGTGGAGTTTTATGGAAACCATAGTCAGGACTTTAGTGATAGAAACCAGAAACAATAGGGGCGCCTGGGTGGCTCTGTTGGTTAACTGAGGTCGTGATCCCAGGGTCCTGGGAGGGAGCCTGGCATCAGCTCCCTGCTCAATGGGGAGTCTGCCTCTCCCTCTCCATCTGCCTCTCCCCCTCCCCTCATGCTCGCTTTCTCTCTCTCAAATAAATAAATAATATCTTAAAAAAAGAAAAAAAGAAAGAAAGAAACCAGAGATAATGACCTAACCCCTCAGCCTCAGAAGACTCTTTTTGGGATGGCCTCTTACTAGCCATGCACTGTGGGACAAATCGCCCTGACGCCTCCTCATTTGTGAAATGGAGACAGGAATCAATACCTCGTTACCTGAGTTTTTGGTGAGACTCAACTTTTATGAATTTTGACGATATTTATTAATACAAGGAATTGGCATATCATTTTATTTGTAGGAGAAGGAGGGAGAGAGAAAGGAAAGAAGGATAGGACATTTTTATCTGTAGGAGAGAGAGGGAAGGAGGAGTAAAGATCTAGGTAGGATGGCAGAAATCAAGGGAAGCTTAGTTTCCTGAGCCTGGAGGGGGAGTTGACAGAAACTCACAGTCTGGGGAGAGAAGAAAGCATCTTTCAGGGAGTTCCGTTAGTTGCCATGTTCCGGAGAACCCATCCCCAGAATGTTCCTTCATGTGGCTGAGGGAGGAGGAGCCGTGGGCTTTTGAGACCCCGGCAAACTTCTTTCCAGACCACGGGGCACCCTGGCCTGCGCTCTGGCTTCCAAGGTACCCAAAGGACGCTTTTTCCTTGTTTCCCCGGGGCGGCCAATGTCAGGATTTAGAAAGCTAGTGCGCCCAACGCACGGTAAGGATCTTCTGGATAACCACTCTCCGTGAGCTTTGCCCAGCTCCTAGATGTTTCTGCGCCACCAGGTGCCTCCCCAGACCTCGAGCCAGAACATTAAGCTGCACCTTGAAGGGTAGCTCCTCAACGCAAGATGCCTGCGTCCACGCGGCGGGCCGGGGTGTGCAGGTGAACTGGCGCGCACCGGCGCTCGGACAGCGAACCGAACTGCAGAAGCGGTGACGGTGGCGGCGCGAGGTAGGCGAACTCTCTCCTTTTCATCCTTTATGTGTCCACTAAGATCTCGCCAATAAATAACAAGAATAAAACGTCTGCTTGGTTTTGTCTTTGCGCTCCCGGGATCGTAGCGGGTCTTTTAGAGAAGAGAGAAAAATGAAGAGAAACCACGGCGGCCCCACCGGCTACTTCTGGAGACCCCTGAAATCAGCAGCTGGAACTGCCAATTTGGAGAGCCCTCCGGCCTGGTCATCTAAGACCCGGGGTAACAGGTCCCCCCGAGTTGGGGGAGGGTCCGGGCTTTTCCCCCCCGCCGGGTCGGGCCCTTCAGCCAAGAGTGGCGCTGGCCAGGCTCCAGACGCGGGAAGGTGCCAAGCCCCGCTCACTTCGCATTGGGGATGCGCGCGGACGGCCCGGGCGCGCTCTGTCCGCCCCTCTCGGCAGTAGGGCGCGGTGTGGCGCGCGCGGTCCCCGGGGACAAGCCCGAGGCCGCCAGGCT